AATTCAATCGAAATTTAGATGCAATCAAAATAGTCGACTATTTATCAAGGTTTTGTTATATTACCCTTGATTATACCATTCTCCATTGATACTGGTTCTAATTTAAATATTCTAGGAAGCCCAGAAAGATGGTTCCTATCGTACTCTCTATGATGGTAGGGGTAGACCCACTGTTTTCGATTCCTATCCCTTACCTTTAATTATAGTACCTTAGGTAAATTGGGAAAGGAAAGGTTTATTCGAATTTTTTACCATGCCGTTTGGGCTCACTAATGCTCCTGCTGCCATGCAGCGATTGATTGGACATCCGATTACATATCTACCTATCTAAACAACATTATTATTGCCACTGTCACATTTGAACTTCATTTAGAAGTGTTAGATCAAGTTTATCAGAAATAAAAATTTGCTGGATTAACTGTTAACGCTAATAAATTGATCAAAAAGGACTGCATGCGAGTGACGACGTTGTTAGTGCGTTTTTGTAATTCTCTACCCCCAAGAACACGGCTCATGTTCGTACATTTTTGGAGTTAATTTCTTTTTATCGTCGATTCATTAACGTTAACTGCTCTTATTTCTGCCCTTCTTAAAAAAGGACAACCTGTATCTGAGGACAAGGAAGCCAAATCTGCTTTCAATGAAAAAAAAAAGATTATTTCAAAACATTTTAATAAACCCCGGTCATTGTCTAGTTAAAGCATTCACCTGTTACAGGAATATTCTGCATCTTCAGTCAGAATTCAGAATCGTGAAACGAAATAAAGCTTGCTCGGGCAACGGGAACAGGTGTACTGTCCAGTCTTAATGCCAGATGGCGCAATCGTTCGGAAAACACAATCATTCATTTATTGCATTATGGCATACGTGGTGTTGTTGCTAATTGGTTTTTGTCCTACCTGTCAGGTAGAACGCAGTATGTCCAGTTAACGTATAAAACGGATTTTAATATTAAAAAATTTTCGTCGTGTCTTTTACCGGTAAAAATTGGTGTGCCACAAGGTTCGATCTTGGGGCCAATCCTATTTCTATTGTTTGTTAATGACATCGTCTTAATTTTGAATGCGATAATAATGTATGCGGATGATACCACAGCCATAGTATCCGGGAATAGCATTAATGAGCTGCAAACACGTGCTGTGGAAATACTCACAAAGCTCAATGACTGGTTCAACTTTAACAAGCTCTTCCTAAACCATAGTAAGACGTACTGCATCCTATTTTCTTCGAGATCGGGCAAAAATGCTCTAACCTGTCCGCCAATCGTCAACAAAACAATGAACCTGCAAAAAACAGGGAAATACCTAGGTATGTGTCGACGCTAACTTCAACTGGAAATGTCACTGTCTGTGTTTAATAAAAAAACTTAATACTTGCTGTTTTCAAATTCGCAGTATCAAACAACTGATTGGGTTACATTATACGCTCTCCTACTGCTATGCCGAGGTTCGGTCGAGATTGTGTTATGGCATTATTTTCTGGGGATCATCTACATACGCATCAAAAGTGTTTATGGTGCAGAAAAGAATACTGCGCTGCTTGGTGGGTATTAAGAAATGGGAATCATGCAAAACCCACTTTATTCAGCTTGGTCTTCTCACTCTGCCGTCTATTTTCGTACTGGAGGTTTTATTGTACATATATAATCAGCCAAAAATAAAGGTACAAGAAGATAATATTGCTTCCACACTACAACTTATACTTAACAAAATTTCTCAAATGGAGAATTCATTTTTAAGTATGGACCATAAAATCAAAGAACTTCAAGGAAGTATCAAAAACAAAAACAAAACTTCCGCAAACATTAAAGGAGCATAACATGAACAGCACACTCAAAATTATGTCTTGGAATGCAAATGGTTTACTCAACCATCAACTAGAACTTCAGGTAATCTTGGATATAAATAAGATTGATGTTTGTTTCATATCAGAAACGCATTTTACCAAACAATCCTTCGTCAAGTTTAAAGGATATAAAATTTACCACACCATTCACCCAGACAATGCAGCAAAGGGGGGAAGCGCGGTAATAATAAAAGAAAACATTCTCCACCATGAAGAAACCAAATTCGGAGCAGAAGATATTCAGGCCACGGCAGTCAGCGTTAGGACCAAAAGCTGCACCGTCAAACTAGTTCGCATATATAGCCCTCCTAAACATAACATTAAATTTGAAAGATATAAAGAATTATTTAATATCATGGGAAATCGATTCATTATAGGTGGAGACTATAATGCAAAGCACATACACTGGGGATCGAGACTTACCACAACCAAAGGAAGGGAGCTACTGAAAGCTGTTCAACACCATGGTTGTGAAGTTATATCAACGGGAAAACCCACGTACTGGCCTACAGATCCAGAAAAGGTCCCGGATCTAATAGACTTGTACATAGTGAAAAATATCTCAACCAATTATATGCAAATTGAAGATAATTTGGAGCTAAACTCGGGCCATTCGTCAATTGTTCTTACCTTAAGTGAACACATCATCAAAAAATCACCAAATGCATACCTAGTTAACAAAAGAACTGACTGGGAATGCTTTAGAACAACATTAGAGAAAAGAATTAATCTAGCAGTCCCCTTGCAAACCGAAGAGCAATTAGATTTTGAGGTGGAGAAGCTTATTAATGATATTCAGCAGTCGGCGTGGCAAAATACACCAGAAATAAAAAGAAAACTAAAAGGTAACAATTACCCTAAAGAAATTGTGGAACTGATAACAGCAAAACGGAAAGCAAGGAAGAAATGGCACCAGTCCAGAGATCCGAAAGATAAAAATAGGTTAAATAATCTTACAACCCGACTCAGAAACGAAATTAAACAACTAAAGAATGACACCATAAGTGAATTCCTAAGAGAACTTACCTCGGAACTTACCAACGATCACAGTACTGAATATTCGTTATGGAGAACTACAAAAAACTTGACAAGACCGATCATGCAAACACCCCCGATTAAAGATGCGAATGGGACCTGGGCCAGAAATAATGTTCAAAAGGCTACAGTATTTGCAGATTGTCTTGAAAAAATATTTCTACCTAATTCAATTAATGATAACGAACCACTACCTCATGGCATAGGACAAGAATGTATGAAAATTCCGCCTGTTACTATAGCTGAAGTCAAGAGAGAAATAAATAATAATATCAACCCAAAAAAAGCTCCAGGGTTTGACCTAATTACGGGACAAATACTGAAGGAACTACCTAGAAAAGCTTTGCTTAAAGTGACACATTTAATTAATGCCTCGTTCAGACTTAAGTATGTACCACAGCTCTGGGAGATAGCGGAAGTAATTATGATCCCAAAGCCTGGGAAACCTCCACACGAGGCAACATCATACCGACCAATCTCGCTACTGCCAATAATCTCAAAATTGTTCGAAAAACTACTATTAAAGAAAATACAGCCTATAATCGAAGACAACCATCTAATACCCAACCATCAATTTGGTGTCCGAAGGCAACACTCCACCATTGACCAAGTACATAGGATAACTAATATTATAGAAAAATCACTAGAAGAAAAAAAGGTATGTTCCGCAATTTTCTTAGATGTGGCCCAAGCCTTTGATAAGGTATGGCACGAGGGGCTAAATTATAAGCTCAAAATGCTCCTACCTGCTCAATACGCACAAATATTAAAATCTTACATGATCGAAAGGTACTTCAGAGTCAAGCAAGAAAATGAATACTCCAACCTGAAAAGAGTCCGAGCAGGAGTGCCACAGGGAAGTGTGTTGGGACCGGTTTTGTACCTCCTCTATACAAGTGACCTGCGAACTTCCAACGAAAGTATCATCGCTACATTTGCGGATGATACCGCAATTTTGGCTACCGGGGAGAGTAACTTGGAGTCAACTAGAGGAGTGCAAGAATCCATGGGCGAGCTATACCGCTGGACAGTAAAATGGCGCATCAAACTAAACCAAAGTAAATCGGTGCATATCGACTTTACAAATAAACGAATCGAATATAAACCAGTATATATTAATAATGTAATAATACCATATGCGAATACGGCCAAGTACCTAGGCATGACTCTGGACGCTAAACTCAAGTGGAAACCCCATATCAAAAAAAAGCATGCGGAGCTGAAATTAAAATACAGGAAGATGTACTGGCTAATGGGCCGACATTCAAACTTGACCATATACAATAAGATTCTCTTATACCAACAAGTCCTAAAACCAATTTGGACCTACGGTGTACAACTGTGGGGTTGCACCAAAAAAAGCAATCGAAACATCATCCAACGATTTCAAAGTAAAATACTCCGTAGTATCGTTGATGCCCCGTGGGATATAAGAAACGTTAATCTGCATAGGGATCTGAATGTGCTGACGATTGACGAAGTTATAGAAAAATATGCCCAAAGTCATGAACAGCGGCTACATCGGCACATCAATATCGAGGCTCTCCAGCTCCTGGATACTGATGGCATCACCAGAAGGCTAAAAAGAATGAAACCGTTCGAGTTAGTTTAGTAATATATGTACAAATATATATAAATTGAAGCACGCCAGTACAGTGTTTAGTTATTCAAACCAAAGAAATTATTGTTCAAATTAAAAAAATTATTAGTTCAAAATGCAATCTATAAAATCGACGAATTCGTAAACATCTGCAAATAAATTTATTTACTTTTTAATTTAAACTTTGTAAATTGCTATGTTACTATGTAATCTTTTTTTTTACTGTCCTGACTAGCCCTTACACAATGTTAATCCATTGTCAAAAAGTAACAATAAAATTGAATTGAATTGAATGGAACTGCATATAATTTTAAAATATTATAGGACTAAACATTCGGACTGAAATAGGTCTATGTAAGTGGCATTAAATTCACTTTCACCTCGTTTTGCACAATCCGTTTCACCAGACAACGGCAACAAACAATAGATCTCTCGATCTTCACACTTCCATCTCACTTCGATGTTATACTTTTCTCCCCAAATGACGAACTCGTCCACACACGAACACTGCAACGGATTGGAGTAGATCCATATCTCCTTTAAGGAATTACGAACAACATCAAACACTGATATGGGAATGTGGGTGAACCTGTTCTGGTTTATTCCCAACCTGTATAAGTTCGGTAATTCCTTAAGCTGAATGTTAAATGAGGAAAGCTGGTTCTTACCAAGGATGAGTTCACTTAATTGAGGCAATCCGTGAAAAGCATCGGGATGAATGTGACTTAGTTTATTACCTTCAAAGCCTAGACTTTCCAGAGACGGTAAATCTTGAAAGGCGGCCATCCCGATGAAGGTGATTTGGTTGTCGTCTAAAAGTAACCACTTCAGTTCTGGCGTGGACGAGAACCAGTTTTGATTGAAGGTCTTCAAGTTGTTATTATCCAAAAAAAGCATCGAAAGGCTTGGTAGGTTTACGAAGGTATTCGCGAATATTGCGTTGATACTGTTGTGGCGTAAGTAGATTCCTCTAAGCGACGGTAGGCCTTCAAAAGAGTAACGTTCCAGTGATGTAAGGTGATTGTTGTCCAAATACAGCATGCGGAGTATGGGCAAGTTAAGGAAAGCCCCTTCCTTTATCATTTGGATATGATTATGAATGATATGTAGCTCCTCAACCTGAATGTCGGAAACGGCGGCCCTATTCAGTGCATCGATGGCTTGATTTCTGACTTCGATGGTGATGCGATTATTGTTTCGGACTCCCAAACTCTTGGAATTGATACAGCCACTCACTCGCCTCGTGAAAATAGGTACACTACCTGAGACTGTAACCAGTGCATTCTGAAAGGTAGGTGTACATTTCTGGGCCGAAGCTAATGCGCCACAAATGAAAATTATTCGCAAAATTACAAAAACATCGGCCATTTGGCAAAACGTTTAGAAGATACTGAAGAAAAAAAGCGATTGGAAGTTCATATCGTATCTGAAATGAGATGTAGCGAAAAAGGTCGAGTCGGGTCACTCATAATTTCTCATGCTTAAGCTGGTCCCAGACGCGTCGTGAATTTGGCGAATTCGCTGAGGTTCCCACACGGTACGCGCATTCAACGAATATTTGGGGTTCCGGGTAGCTTGGCAAAGTACTTTGTCAAACTTTATCATCGCGCCAGTGCGGTAGGCGTGTTGAGTTGTAAAAAAATGGATAGCAAAAATGAGGATTTTGCCGCCGCCCGACACTAGTATCGCCCAACTGAGCTAAAATAAGCCGTAGTATAACGAACCGTGTGGGAGCCTGAAAAACCTTTTTTTCCCTTTGATTCGTACACTTTTACCGACAATCTGCGGAAAGCTTTGGCGAATGAAAAACGTTCGCCGTAGCAAGACAAACTGGCCCACACGCTATGCGAACTATCACGTAGGACGAACGTTCGCCGAATGCACGAAGCGTCTGGGAGCAGCTTTAGATTGTACAAACTACAGGCGTTACTATACATCCAAAGATTATAGTTGATCATTGCGAAAGTATTTTTGAAATGTCTCCTTTTTATCATTGGGGTTTTCCCAACTGGTCGATCACCAAACCTTTTTTTATCAGAGCCGGCTGACGAGTAAAGAAATAGTAATAATCGCCACTTGAAATAAATCCAAAATGACTTGTTCCTAAAACACAAATTTCTTTAAAATAAGTAACCAGGAAGCTGAGTCGCGAACTGGTGATGAAAAGTGTCACTTTAAACGTCAAATTGTGTGAAACACGTTGGGAAACATCACTATTCGTAACTCGCTTTCTTCGCTTCGCTTAACTTCGCTTTCTTTCTTCGCTCGTTTCCGCAGAAATCCGCTCTTTGAAAAATAGTGCTTTTCCCACAATAATTATTTGTACAACTAGTTTTGAAAGTGATTCTTTTTTTCATGAATTTGCAGTTCGATTAATAAGAGCGAAACCCGAGTTAATCAAGCAAATTCATGCAAAAAAGACACTTTCAACACGTGTTGTACACGAAATTTTTTGCATAGTGATCCTTAATAAGCCATAATTGCATAATATCATTGACATTCGCCATTTTATGTCACTCAACAATTGAGCTATTGGTCATAGACAGGACGACACGCCTTGGAGACGCATAGTAAAAATCGTTAAAAAAAGTACCACTTTCCATACGATTTTTCTTCAAAAAAGTCCGGTAATTTGATGACAATTAGTCTAGGCGATAGAGACTGTAAAATTGGCAAACTGGACATTTTGAGGTGGAAAAGAAAAAAATGGTGGAATATGTTCAGTTAGGTGTCAAAAACAACATATTAAAAATCCCACCCTCCAGACCCTGTGCTAAAGGCTCCAGCCACCCCACCATCCCCCAAAAACCGTGTTTTCGCTCTTTTTGGCTGATATCTCGCGATCTATGAGGTCTATATGAAATATTTTTAGCTGAAAATATTTCTCGGGAAATTTCATACAAGGTAGATACTCAGAAGTTACCCTAGGTGTACCTCTTAGCCTAGGAATCGCGACCGTCAGGGCTAGATGAAATAATATGTTTAGCTGAAAATGCTCTTCGTGCAATTTCATACGAGATAGGTAACTGAAGAGTTGGCGTAAAGTCACCTTTCACCTTCAACTTTCATGTGTGAGGAAATATTCATTGTAAAGCAAAGTATTTCTATGTACCATTTATTCACGTAAAAACAGTATTTTCAATCAAAAGTTATAGACTAGAAACCAATTTCGAAAGAAAACTCAAAGGGCTGTAACTTTTGAACTAGTAGCCCAATCTTGGAACTGTTTGAAATTATGGATTCTACAGGTCACATTCTATAAGAAATTTTTTTTTCCGGGTCGATCTGAGACAATTTTTTTTTGGGGCTCAAAAAAAGGCAGTTATAACTTTCCTTTTTTACCAAAAATCGACTACACCAAAATTTCTCGGGAAAACACTTTTTCTTATTAATTTGGGTGCGTAGAATCCAAATCAGTTCGTACTTGTTCGATCAGACTTCTCAATCAAAAGTTATAGACTAGAAATCAATTTGAAAAAAAAATTCAAAGGGCTCTAACTTTTGAACTAGTAGCCCAATCTTGGAACTGTTTGAAATTATGGATTCTACAGGCCACATTCTATAAGAAAATTTTTTTTCCGGGTCGATCTGAGACAACTTTTTTTTCGGGGGTCAAAAAAAGGCAATGTATAACCGTCCTTTTTTACCAAAAATCGACTACACCAAAATTTCTCGGGAAAACACTTTTTCTTATTAATTTGGGTGCGTAGAATCCAAATCAATTCGTACTTTTTCAATCAGACTTCTCAATCAAAAGTTATAGACTAGATGCAGATTCCACTTCTTCAGGCTCTTCGACGTCCTCTAGTGGTAGTGGGTCGTCTGAGATTACCGACTCGTAGTTCTCGTCTTCCGCTTTACCTGATGCATGGGTACCCTGAAGAGACGTGGCATTTAGGCACGATGCTCCATGACACTGGACGCAGAGTTCATTACACTTCAGACCTACAACAAGAAGCATTATGTCAAAAAAATGTTTATAATTATGTATACGATTAAATAAAATATTTCATATAGACCTCATAGATCGCGAGATATCATCCAAAAAGAGCGAAAACACGGTTTTTGGGGGATGGTGGGGTGGCTGGAGTCTTTAGCACAGGGTCTGGGAGATGGGATTTTTAATATGTTGTTTCTGACACCTAACTGAACATATTCCACCAATTTTTCTTTTCCACCTCAAAATTGTTGGCAGTGGGGAAGGCCTACCTTAGTTATTAGCCATGTTGCGGACAGCATTTTCCGTTATGTTAGACGGCCATTTTTCCTTATAATATAAGTTTATAAGTATAAAACATTTTTATAGCAAAGTTAAGTTGCGGTGTGTGCTGGACGTGTTCAATTTTGCTTATAAGTTTGAAGGAGTCTTAACCTCACTTTTATTTTACATTGTGTTAAAATGTCCAAAGTTCACTACTATGCTCTTAGACAAAAAGAAAAAAACTACCGCCAACATAAACACTGCACAATTGTAGGTTAGCAGGAAAATGTTATTTATGAGTGATTACGTACTGCGCAGTGACACATTATAAGAACTTCATTTTCATTGGTTCCGCTATTTATAAATATATCGTACAAAAAGCCCTCATACCGTAAATTATTTCTACAAAAATTTATATTTCTTATGTTATAAGAAAAAATGGCCGTCTAACATAACGGAAAATGCTGTCCGCAACCTGGCTATTAAAGGCAATTAAAATAAACCGATACAACGAAATATCGAAGGATCCTCAGTATTACAATCACTTTTAACGACAATTTATTTTAATCTTACAAAATACATTTTATAGTTAACAAAAATGCATCAAATTCATGTCTTGGGCTTTGAGATAATGCTCTTGGTTTTTTTCCCAACGATCTTGGTGCATAAATAACAATTTTGACATGTTTTGATCAAAATCCATGTGGTCCATAAAAATAGATCAAATTCATGTTTAGATCATTGAGATAATGCTCTTGATCTTTTTCCCAACGATCTTGGTGCATAAATAACGATTTTGACATGTTTTGATCAAAATCCACGTTTTCGCCAAAAATTCATCAAATTCATGTCTTGGACATTGAGATAATGCGCCTAGTCTTTTTCCCAATGATCTTGGTGCATAAATAACGATTTTGACATGTTTTGATCAAAATCCCCGTGGTCGCCAAAAATGCATCAAATTCATGTCTTGGGCATTGAGATAATGCGCTTAGTCTTTTTCCCAACGCTCTTGGTGCATAAATAACGATTTTGACATGTTTTGATCAAAATCCACGTGGTCGCCAAAAATTCATCAAATTCATGTTTTGGGCATTGAGATAATGACCCTAGTCGTTTTCCCAACGATCTTGGTGCATAAATAACGATTTTGACATGTTTTGATCAAAATCCATGTGGTCGCCAAAAATAGATCAAATTCATGTTTTGGTCATTGAGATAATGATCTTGGTCTTTTTCCCAACGATCTTGGTGCATAAATAACGATTTTAACATGTTTTCATAAAAATCGATGTGGTCGCCAGAAATGCATCAAATTTATGTCTTGAGCATTGAGATAATGCCCCTAGTCTTTTTCTCAACGATCTTACATACGTACATAAATAACGATTTTGACATATTTTGATCAAAATCCATGTGGCCTCAGAAAAATAATTTAACATCTTTGAATCACACACATGCGGTTATCAAATGTGCACGTGATGTACTCTTTCAGCATCAAGATAATGCGTTTGAAAGCTTTTACAACTCCAAATTTATGTGTAAAGAATAATTTTGGGTACATTTTGCTCTAAAACTTTTGACCTATACCACAGAGAAGAGTTATATTGAATTATTACACATCTAAGAGTCATAGGGAATAATCTAGCGAAAGTCCGAACTCGATACATGACCTAGGGAATGAAATATGTTAATTTTTATTATATTGAGTTCGCAGTTTTTCCTGTTCCCGATTCACTCGAAGTCGTATAACTTTTGTTCCTGTTGAACCAGCTTCCTGAAAATCAAAAGCGTCCGTTCTTAATGTCCAACGTACCCGTATACCAAATTTCAACACAATCGGCCACTTTTAAAAAGAGTTAGAGCGCACACGGACGGACGGACGGACGGACGGACGGACGGACGGACGGACGACAATACAAAACTATAAAGGATCTGAGGATCCTTAATAAAGCGTATTTATTAAACATTAGATTGAACATATAATGTGCGCACGACGACGACAAGTACAACAACATGACGGAAGTGACGTAAGTATTAATGTACAGGGTGTAACAATTCAAATGTGAATTATATCAACCCTAACATAACTCCTCCTTAATTCACATATCTATACTAATTTACATTCATCCCTTAATGCTAGGAATTTGGTCCTGCCCAGCCCTTTAGTTAACAAATCCGCAATCATTTTTTCAGAAGGAC